CCCCTTCACCCGGCTCCTGCCAAGCTCCCGCCGCAAGGAGCGAAGGGGCCAGGGTGCCAGGCTGGCAGCACCCCCTCACCGGGGTGCAGGTCCCCATAATCAGGGGACGGGCAGCTCCGAGGCTCCCCCCGGCATAGTGTGCATGCACAGTATGAGGACACCCCGAAGTGACAGCAAACACGGGCTCTCTGGCAGCCAGTGGGGTTTCACCGGCCAACAAACCCTTTCCTGCATCTTGCACGCGTGCAGGGCGTCCGTGCAGCCCTGAGTGGCAGCAGCCGGCAGCCTGGGTATTTTCTCCTTCCTTGACAGTGCTGTCTCTTGTGCAGGAGGCTGAGAGGTGCGAGATGGCTTGAAGCCACCTTGCAGCACCGTTGTGACACCCACCTTGGTCCCAACCCTCTAAGAGACAAGGGATCCCAAACTGGGTGCTTGTGCTGGCACAGGCACCGGGATGTTTCGTTCAGCAGATGCTCACACTTCTGGCAGGTTCAGGATCAAAGAAGGAATCAGCTCGGACCAGATACTGTCAGACGCCAAGGAGTGGGAAAAAGTGATACTGCTGGGCCAGTGGCCTCAAGCTGGTTTTTGGGGAAGGGCGAAAGCGAGGAGAGGAGCTGGTGGACCTGAAATGTTAATTCCTTCCAGCTGTTGTCAGTCTGGCAGGTTCTCAAAGGAAGTTTAATAGACTGCAGTCGTCTCCCCTCGGCCCGTCCCCCCATCGCCGCGCTGTGCGGAGGCAGCCCAGCAGAACCTGGGATTACATGAGCCGCTCTGTCTTCCAAAGACCTGGTTTTATTTTTTTTCCCTTTGGCTCTGAAACTTTTCTTGTATATGTGTGTGAGTGTGTGTGTGTGCACGCACGCACATGTGCAACGCCTTTCGCTCCCCCCACCCCCAAGCAAAGCCTGCCCCTTAGATTGCAGCGAATTAGAAGGGACCGTCGGGGTTGCATGGGGCAGGAGCAGGAGCAGGAGTGAGAGCAGGAGCGGGGGACTGCATCAGCAGTGAGGAGGAGGAGGAGGAGACGGCTTCGTGGGCCTCCTTGCTGGAGCGCACCCCAGTCCGCCGTGTGAACTGGGAGGAAACAGGATGAAGAAAGTATTTGGAGTGGAAAATAAAAATCCTCTCTCTTGCTTTATTGATTGTGATTGTGGACAGAAATAGCTCGGGCTGTTGAAAGCAATCCCCCACCAAAGGAGCAGAGGCTCAGATGCGGGGCTCATCCCGTACAGCATCCTCCTGCCGCCCGCAGCACACGGAGAAAGAGGGTGCCCAGAAACCTGACGGCCATGGGGTGAGCCAGCCCCGAAGCAGAAGGGCTTCTCACCTGCCTGCCACGGCTCCTGCATAGTTTCCAAGCCTGGTGTTGTACATCTTGCTACACGCTGGCTGCATCTCTAGACATGCTCAGCATGGGAGCCCGGCAGCACAGACACAGCCCTGGGAACGCGCGGCCCTGGCAGTCTATTAGCAATTAGACAATAAGCTCCTGTCATTAATATGTCCCATGTCCCATCCATAATAAATTGCCAGCAGAAAGTGTCGGACAACCCGGCCAGCCGGGTTCATGCACTGCCCATCCCGGGGAGGCAGACGCCTGTCACCCCTGGGGGGACCTGGCCACTAAGCTGCTTTGAAAACAGCAACAACGGAGCGATGCTATTTTAGGCAACTGGACCATTTCATATGACTTTTAGCCGGTTTCCTTGAATTGTTTCACTTAAGACACCAAGTGAGGGGCCAGGGAAGGAGGGCAGGCAAGCCCAGGGTGCCCAGCACGGCCCAGCCTGTGGGGCCAGCAGCCCCATGGGCACGGTGCTACGGCTCCCAGCTCTGAGAGAACGGTAAAAACCAAGTGCTGGCAGGAGAGTAATTAGTTAAACCCAAGCACATCTGTTGTTAATTAATTCCCAGGCAGGAGGGTTTAACTCTTGCCTTCCCCAGTGGTTTGCAAGGTGGATGGCCAGCATCAGCTTGCATCCAGAGGAAGGCTTGAACTTTGCTTTTCGAGCCCTTTCCAGGGACTTGAGTTGTTCCGGTCTGTCATTCCCTGCTCTGGTCCATCATTCCCCCATCCCAGAACCATCCCTCTGGTTTTCAGGAGCGCCTGGGACGCGAGCAGAGCAGCCAGCACTGCTCAGGGCAGTGAATGTGCCCCAGGCTTGGGGTAGGGGGCTGAAAAATCTGGCTTTGCCCCTGCCAATGTCCAGCCCCAAGGAGCCAGTGGAGAAGGTGGGACCTCTCTGAGGGTAGGTTTGCAGAGCATCACTGCAGGGCTGAGCCGCGCTTTTGGGTAGCCCTGCACCGGCAACTGCTATTTTATTAGCATTTTTCGAAGGCAACTGTCACTAAAGTACATTCGTAGGTGTGAATATCACATACATTCAGCAGTACCTCATGCTCTGCAAAGAGCCCGGCTCTGCTCCCCACCTCCCCGCTCCGCCTTGCCCATGAGTTTCAAGCCGCTGCGGGTGGACAGAGCTGCTGCGTGGGGACCTGGTCCCTTGGGAGCAGCGTCAAAAGGGCATTTGATGCTGGAGCAAAGCGGGGGAGAAGGTGAGGGGGAGCTGGGTGCGTGGGGTGTGTGCCACCCCCTTCCCACGCCGGGACACAAGCACGCACGGCACGGCCAGCCCGCAGGGCCCTCCCGCACTGGGGGAAAATCTGTTCCCCATTAAGCGACTCCGGCAGCGCTCTTACTGCGGCTGGCGGGGAGAGCAGCCCTGCCAGCTCCGACCTCCCTAATTAGCACAACAAGTGAGGCCAGGCTGGGGAAGGCCAGTGCCTCTGTCCCTCCTTGCCAAGGATGCAAACGGTTGGAGCAGAGCCTCAGCCAGAGCCCGTGGAAAAGCTCCCACCGACCCTGCGAGTGCCGGATGGGGCCCCTGTTCCGTCCGTCCCGGGGTGGGCAGTGATGTGCATCCCACCTCCCCTGGCCCCCCACTCCGGGGCTCAGCCTGGGTGGCTGTGCCAGGGCGAGGGCTAAAAGCCCCGACCTGCCGCCCCGAGTCCTACCTGCGGTGCGTGGGGTGGAGGAAGGCTGCCCACACCTCCCTCTTCCCCTCCATGCATTTGCACTATGCCGGGCTCCGACTGCCTTTAGTTCACCACTAAAAATAGGTTTCACGGCTGAGCGGCAGCGCCGGAGGGCAGGCAGCCCAGATCCCAAACCAGCCTGTGTCGCTGTGACCAACTGACCCATTTGGCCTCGATTTTTAAGTATTTTTCCCTCTTCGTTCAACTTCAGCGCAGGCAGCAGCCTCACCAGGACGGCTGAGCCCCCCAAAGGGCAGAGAGACTCTGGCAGGGGGCCGTGGTCCCTTACCTGCATGGCATGGCACGGCACGGCACGGCACGGCAGGGTTGGTGGTCCCACGGCAGGGCTGGCAGGTAACGGGCGGCAGCAGGAGTGCCCAGGCCACTCGAAATCGGAGGGCTGCCAGGTCCCACAGCCTCCTCACGCCAACCCTGGGCAGCCTGTGCCCACCCCAGCCCCGCAGCCGGGATTTTGCATCATTTATTTTCTCCTTTAGGGAAGTTGTGCCCCCGGGACAGACAGAAGCAGCTCGCGGCTGATGGGGTCCCACTGCAGGGCAGAGCCCCAGGAGGAGCAGGGAACGGTGGTGCAACGGGACCAGGGTTTGTCCCAGGGCTGCAGGAGTGGAGCAGGGAGCCAGCGCCGGGCTGCAGGACACCAGCACCTCAACCTGTTCCCCGCAGTGAAGGACGGGGAGTCCTCTCACATTTCCCCTCCCAGCACAAGGAGCAAAGCAGGAGCACCCTGGGGCTGTCACTGAGCCGTCCCGTGTCCCCAAGGCCGAAGGAGCCCTGCAGCCTCTGCGCCAGCCCCCCCCCCACTCCGTGCCTGCAGCCGGGAGCAGGACTGGGGGTGCAGGCGCAGGGATGGGGGACGTGGTGCGGCTGCGAGCAGCTGTCCCCCGGGAGCACCCTGCGGAGCACGTGATGCAGCAGCCATCGGTCAGAAATGAAGAAAGACCTTTATTTACAGTAACAAACGAAAGGGACAAAAAAATAAAATACCGCGACACTTCCCTCTCCTTCTCCCCAGCCCTTCCGTGGGGCGTTTTCCACTCCCACCCAGCCACGAGCCCCATCCCCAGGGTGATGGGACAGGGGCCAACAACTGCTGGGGGTCATTTGGCACCAACCAACCCATCCAGCCCCACCGTTCTCCTGGGACTCACGCGGGGTAGGTAACAGCTTGGCACGGCTCCGGGCTCTTCCCAGCCGGGGACGGCTGCCCTGGGCCCCGGCTGCAATCCTGCTGCGGGGACCAGCGAAGGAAAAGCTTCTTCCCAGCCAGCGCGGCAGGGAGGGGAGCAGGCTGTGTGTATTGCACTTGGCTGCCGATCTCAGCACTGAAGAGGGGCAGGGGCTGGCAGGATGCATGGCACAGCACAGGACCCCGCAGCCTGGCTAAAGGCTTCGGCACCTCCCGGTGCCTGGTGGGCTCCCGGTGGGGAGCAAGGCTCTGTACTGTGCCCAGCCTTGGAGGTGTCCCGGTGCAGGAGGATGCTCTGTGCCACCCCCGTGTAAACCAGAACACTGCCCTGGGGCAGCCCCGGTGATGGCAGCGGCTGTCCCCAGTGCAGGGACCCTGGGGTGGCACCTGCGGGCTCTGCGGGGCACAGGGCGGGCGCTCCTGCTCTCGGCTCAGGTGGCAGGAGGCTCCCGTGATTCTCAGCAAACCGGCCCGGAGTGGAGAAGAGGTAGAGCGTGACGAGATGCCAGCCGTCCCCGGAGCCCCCGCGGCCCTACGGATTCACCCTTCCCAGGCAGGATCCGAGCCCGGCTCGCCGGCTCCAAGGATGAGGTCTGCAGTGGGGGGTATCTCTCTCCTCCTTTGCCAGGCTATCTTTTGGCGTTTCACACCTGGGTGTCCTCACTGCCGGCTCAGGGACTGGCCGGACCCTTGGCTGCTGCAGGAGGAGCCGGGGGGGAACCCACTCTTGGTCCCCCCCGCCAAGTGCAGCCCCTCAGGAGGAGAAGCAGAGCCCGCAGCACTCCATGCAGATCTCCAGGCAGTGGGCCGACTCGCAGCAGGCGTCGATGATGCCGCAGTCCATGTCGCAGGGCAGGTCGCAGTCCGCGCACTCGCCCGAATTGCAGCAGCAGCAGCAGATGCAGGAGTCCTCGGAGGTGCAGGAGCCGCAGGTGGCACAGTCCAGCACGATGTTGCAGAGGGTCAGGAACTCGCAGAAGAGGCAGGAGAGGATGCAGTGGACGCAGCAGTCTGCGGAGGAACGGCCAGAGAGTGGGCGGAGAGGGGGGACACCAGCACCCACGGCCAGGCTGGGTGAGGCAGTGCCCAACAGATGGATGCTCAGCCCCAAAAGGGTGGAAATCCTCCCTTGGGAATTAATGGAAGTGATGGGAAGAGGGGCTGGGAGCCAGGTACTGCTCTAGGGACCTCCCTCAACGCTCCGGGGACTGACCCTGCTGCTTGGGACATGCCCAGACCCCAAGAAAGACCAGTTTTGGAGGACATGAGATGACCCCGCTCAGCATCCGCCCTGCAGAAGGCTCCCAGGAGGGGAGCTTGGCTGGCACCCAGATCCGGGGGTCCCGGTGGGCCGGAAGGATGCTACACGAGAGACCCCAAGGGATGCAGGGTTGGAGGAGAGTGGCTGGAAAGGGGCACCCCCCCCCCCCCGGGGAGAGCCGGTACCTTCTTGCGCCTCAATAGGGATGTGGGAAGAGGCCGACTTGGAGCTGCCCTTGCTCTTCTTGCTGCTCTGGCTGTTGATCGAGTGGTGCGACTGCAGCTTTCGGTGAGGCTTCTGGGCGCTGGGGAGGGGGCGGAAGACCCCGTTCCCCGCCTCCCCGTTGGCGTTGCCCGGATCCGGCCCCCGCCCGGCGCCGTTCTGCAG